ATCATCGTCCTGCAGCACTCCCATCCAACACGCCTCCCTGCAGGATGGATTTCGGAACCCCTGACCTGCTGGATGTGTGGCTGGAGCCCCCAGATGATGTCTTAACAGGACCCTTCCTGGAGCTGGGACTCCACTGTCCACCTCCCGAAGCCCCAGTGACTATGCTACAAGAACAGGGGCTGCAAGGCTGGGAGTCCAGTGGGGCCCATGCCTGTGTGAGTATGATGAATGGAAGCGGGGGTGGTTTGAAATACAACTCTGATAAGAAGCCCAAGAGACTTCAGCCTACACTTGGAAAGTGGTCTGAGACAGTACCCCTAGAGTAGAGAGAAACTGTAATTATCCCCATGACCAAGGACAGAGAGGACTGAAACTGCAGCATGAAGGATCTAGGTTTGATGTCAGGAAGGACTAACAGAATTCTTCCCTGTATACATACACGCCCTCTTCTGATGTAGGGCCTTCAAGAGAGTGAGCCTGAAGATTTCCCGAAGCTTTTCATTGATCCCAATGCAGTGTACTGCTCAGAAGCATCTCCTGGCAGTGACAGTGGAATCTCTGAGCACCCTGGTCGTCGAGACAGCCCCCCTGCCCCCCAGGCACCCAGTTCTCCTGCCCTCTATGAAGTTGTTTATGAGACAGAGGCCCTGGAGAAGATGCAGGAGGAAGCGGGGCCAGCGGTGGGCTTCATCTCCATTCAGCTAGGTTAGTAGTGTTATGTGGGAAGGGGACAATGGCCCTTGAGATCCAGCCCCGATCTGTGCCTCTACCCAGACCCTCCTGCCATCAGGGCGTCCCTTCCATCTTGTTTCTCCCAGCCACCTGTACTTTCCTTAGATCAGTGGAGCCCACCTTTTATGACGCCTGATGCCTGCATGGTCAGCAACGTGCCCCTTGATGCTCATGCCCACATCCTGCCCAGAGCAGGCACTGTAAACCCAGTGCTTCCTGCCACCCTGGTGAGTCTTGGGGTTGGCCTAATCCATCCCCCCTGCTACACACACATATACCCACACAGATTGGGATAAGGGAGGGGGAAACTGATGCTGAACTCTGTCTTTGCCCTAATGTTTTGGGCATCAGGCCTGAAAGCCAGGGAGACGTGGGCAATTAATTTTTATTGATTTGAGAGAGAGAAACATCGATTTGTTGTTCCACTTATTTATACTTTCATGGCTGGTTTTTGTATGTTTGTGTCCCTGACTAGAGATTGAACCTGCAACCTTGGCATATAGGGACAGAGCTCTAACCAACGGAGCTATCGGGCAGACTTGGGCAATTTAAAAGCAGGGCAATTAATTTTTATTGATTTGAGAGGGAGAAACATCGATTTGTTGTTCCACTTATTTATACTTTCATGGCTGGTTTTTGTATGTATGTGCCCTGACTAGAGATTGAACCTGCAACCTTGGCGTATAGGGACAAAGCTCGAACCAACTGAGCTATCGGGCAGACTTGGGCAATTTAAAAGCAGGAAAGGATAAGTGAGACAGAAACACTTGGGAGTAAGGTGATGATGACTCAGTTAGGAAAAGGTGGGGTGAGCGAATCCAGGGATAGGGCTCAAGAGAAAGGCCAAACCTTGTGTTCATTGTTTGCTTAGCTATTGTCTCAAGTCTTGGGTCAGGACGCAGAAATGGGACAGGCCACCTGGGAACATTGAACTGGTTACTGGGCACAGGGTGTAAGGGAAACAACTGCATTTATGTTTCCACTGGAACAATTGTCTTCCACCCAATTGCATGGGGTGGCAGGGGAGTAACACATTAGATAACTTCCCAAGACTACCTGGTCTGCTTCCTCCAGGGGGAGAGGGGGGAACCTGCCTTTATCCTGGAAAGAACTCGTTGCATGCAAAAGGCAGGGAACAGGTTCTAGCCTCCCTGCAAATCTGTGGTTGAAGCTGGACCAGCAGCCAAGCCAAGGATCTTAAAATCTTGGGTTGAGGGACCTTAAAAAGTTTGATACGTCTAAATTTGACTGTGCATCAAAACAGTGGGGAATTTGTGGGTTTGCTTTTAATATTTTAAAAATATTTTTATTGATTTGAGAGAGGAAGGGAGAGGGAGAGAGAAATAGAAACATCAATGATGAGAGAGAATCATTGATTGGTTGCCTTCGGCACATCCCCTACTGGGGATCAAGCCTGCAACCTGGGCATGTGCCCTTGACTGGAATCAAACCCAGGACCCTGCAGTCAGTCAGCAGGCTGATGCTCTATCCACTGAGTCAAACCAGCTAGGGCAGTTGTTTTTTAAATAAAACTTTCTAGGCCTCCTTCTCACAAATTTTGACTAGGTGGATTGGGAGGGACACCTTTCTAATATAGTTCCACCGAATAGTCACAGCCACAAGAAGGGAGCATCAGAAAAAGGCAGAGACAGAAGGAATGGTTCAGGTAAAAGCCAAAGGCTATCAGGGCCAAAGCAATGCAAATTCCTAAGACACAATGGAAAGCATACCTTTTTCAAAAGGTAATTGGAAAGGAAAGTCATTCAATTGATAGACTCACATTAACCAGACACTACCCTCCCCATATACCTTTTTTCTTTAATTCTTTGTCTGACAGGGGAGAGAGCTTTAGTCTGAAAAGAGGGGATCAGACCCTAGGGGAGAATGGGCCACTGCCCCAGGGAGCTCACTGTGACTGGATAACACACTCTGCCAAACAAGAACAGCTAAAAGTGAATCAATTGCCTGCTGGAAGATTGGGCAAACCCGACCTTAGTGAGCTACTCCACATTCTCTTCAAATACTCCTGTTCGGGGAGACGTGGATCAGAGACTGCGGTCAAACGATATGACAAAACCACCTCTTCTCTCCCGTGGTCCCTTGAATTAAAGTCCCTGCCCTCACTTCATTTCATGGTTAGCTATTCCTCAGTGCAAATGGAAAACACTATAGAAGGCATGCAGGGGGAGCAGCCTGGGTGCTAAAAATGGGATGGCCCTCTCCCCACTCTTATCTTCTGTGCCCCACCAGCTACCCTGTCAAGCCTTGTTCCTGACAGATGAGGAGAAGCATCTGCTGGGGCAGGAAGGGATTTCCCTGCCCTCTCACCTGCCCCTCACCAAGGTAACATGCTTCCCAAAAGGGTATCCCAACCCAGGGGCCCACCATGGCTCTGAACAGCCAGGATCACGGGGGAGAGTGGGGGCATGGGGGTAAGTTACGGGCCCAGGACTGATACACCTCGGGGCCCCAGACAGAGGAGAGGGTCCTGAAGAAGGTCAGGAGGAAAATCCGTAACAAGCAGTCAGCTCAGGACAGTCGGCGGAGGAAGAAGGAATACATCGAGGGTCTAGAGAGCACGTATGTTTGAACTCCCATGTCTGGCTTCTGGTGGGCCAGGCCCAGTCCTCTTCCTGACCAAGGGGGGTAAGGCCAGGGACGCACATGATGGAAGAACCCTGTCCTGCCTTTCCACGCTCCTTAGGGTGGCTGCCTGTTCTGCACAGAACCAGCAACTACAGAAAAAAATCCAGGAGCTGGAGAGGCACAACATGTGAGTGAAAGCATAGTGTTCGCATTGCAGGAGGGATGCAACACACAGGGGCACCATTCTTGGACCCTACTTCCCAGATCTAACTCATCCTTCCTCCTCTCCCAGGTCCCTGGTGACTCAACTCCGCCAGCTGCAGATGCTCATTACTCAAACTTCCAACAAAGCTGCCCAGACCAGCACTTGTGTTCTGGTACCATTAGTCTACTTCCCATCTCCCCCCACTTCCACCACCTGACACATGTCCATCCTGATACCCCTATGCCCAAGCCACTTGAATCTTCCCATCCCTGACGGCTCCAACTGCCCTCTATTCACTTACTTTATTGTCCCCACAGCCCAAGTGTCTTCTTGCTTCCTCCCAGATCCTTCTCTTTTCCCTGGCTCTCATCATCCTGCCCAGTTTCAGCCCCTTTCGAGGCCCACCAGAAGCTGGGTCTGAGGATTACCAGCCTCATGGAGGTGAGAGGCAAGGGCAGGGAAGGACTTTTGACCTGGTGAGCAAATGGGGTGTTCTCCAGGTAGTCAAGAGGTGGGAGGGAGGGGCTGTCCTGTTGGAATTCCCACCCAAGGGAGCACTCTACTACTGCCGTTTTTCCTTCACCCCACAGTGATTTCCAGAAATATCCTGATTCACAAGGACGCAACAAAAAATTGGGAGACCCCAGAGGTAGAGTCCAGATTGGGAGAGCCACCTGGGGTCAAGAGTGCAAATGGCTCGACGACGCTGCTTGAGAAGACGGGAGGAAAGACAGGCCCCCGGGGGCTCCTCAGAACTGTGCTGCATGCAGATGAGATGTGAGCTGGAGTACTCCCTAGCCCGCCCCTCAATCACAGAAGGAACCCAGGGCTCTCCGCTCTGCTTTCCCCTGGGATTCCCACTCGGGGTTCTTCGGCCTCAGGATTACATCAGGATGCCCTAGATGCCTGTACCCAGAGGCCGTCTGTCTGTGTGAGGTGGCACCACAAATACTTTTATTATGTATCTGTGATTTTATTTCTTTGGATGTAGGGTTGAGGAAAACAGACGTTTTTGCTAATAAAATAAACGTTTTTTTGCTGAAATTTTATTCATTTTAAATAAGTAGTAGAAGGGGGGAAGATAGGTACTTGATAAAGTGGGGGTTGAAGTTGCCACCCTGGTTCCCTCTCTGCCTTCCTATCTTCCTGCCCCAAACCAAATCACAATAGAGAAGGAAACTATTTTACTCTTTTTATTCTGCTCATTGATGATCTAGACAAGGAAGACGGAAGGGGTTTTGTTTGTTTGTTCCTCCCACTCCCCAAAATACTAGGGGCACAAATAAGTCCATTCTACTTTCTCTGTCGGAGGTGGGGTCTTTAAGACCCATATACCAGGGTAGAAGGTAGCTATATGGATTCGATTTGCTTCCGGACCTTTTCCAGGGCCCTTCTGTCCAGTTGTCGCTGACGAATGATGACAAGGCAAGCGAAGACCAAGGCTACACCGATGACAGTCCCTTCAAATTTCCAGAATAAGTGTTGTTCCATCAGCGCCGAGCGACAGCTGAGGGTAGGAAGAAACAGTTATTCCCAGGGAAGGCCAGACAGCCTCTCCCTCTACCTCCCTTCTACTTCAGCCTAACCAAGATACAACATCTGAGGGGAAAAGAGAAAACCAAAGTCAGTCTGTGCTCACAGGGCACAAACCCCATTCAGATATGTCATTCAACTTATTTTCTGGTGAGGTAAGCAGAGCAGATATTAAACAATTTTACTAATGAGAAGATGTGGCCATGAATATAGCAGTGAGAAGGAGAAGTGGGGCTTGAAGTAATTTGGTTCCAAATCCCTTCCTCGTTCCAACATGCCATACCACCTCCAGACCAAGAGGAAGAGGCGGGACTATCCGCCCAAGGTCACGGGAGCACAGGAGGTGGTCTAGGAGGGTCCAGAGGAGACACAGCACTTGCCTTTTGAACCCATTCCTCTTCGATGAGCTGCATGTGATCTTCTCCACATACCCCGTGGAGCCGCATTCAGGGGTGGTTTTCTGCCGGGAGAAGAGGACAAAGCACACGTTAGCAAGGGGCCAGAGGAGAAGCAGGCCGGCTGCTATTCGGAATGGGCAGGTGCCCAAGCGCTATGGCTCAGAACCGGGAGGTAACTCGCGAAGAGTTCTAATGGGGATGGTGGAGGCGGTGGCTGCACCATTAGGAATATGTGTTAGAAAGAATATTTCAAAGCGATCGTCTAGGAGAGACGTGGACAGGTCCCAGAGTCTACTGGATTTAAAATGAACAGGACACGGTTATTAACTGAAAGTTGCCATTAGCCTGGAAAGAAAAGGGCACATTTACAGGGGAAGACAAGTTCATATGTGGACATATACAGTGGGGCGTTGACTTACGAGTGTCCCAACTAACGGGTTTTCTGAGATACCAGCTGTCTCTCGGCCGATTTTTTGCATTGAGTTGATAGAGTAATTTGAGTTAATGAGCTCCTTAATGAGCTCAGTCTCAGAATGAATGAAACTCGTAAGTCAAGGCCCCACTGTACAAGGAAAATGATAGACAATGAAAAGCATACTCAGGAAGACTTAGGGGCTGTGGTGGAAGCGTGAGAGAAGCCACAGTTTCATTTGCAAGTATCTCTGAGCTCGCTGAGTAGACACCATGAGCAAAGCTCACCCCCTGAGGTAAAAACATTTATGGACAAGAAGTTATCGTTGAAACTAAATGGCGGGTGCCCGGCCGGTGTGGCTGGGTTGGAGCGTCATCCCATACACACTAAAGAGGCAGGTTCCATTCCGGGCCAGGGCACATACCCAGATTTCAGGTTCCACGTCACATCAAGGCTTCTCTCTCTCCCTCCCCAACCCTCTAAGATCAATACCTTGGGTGAGTATTAAAAATAAAGGAAAAACAAAATAAACGGTAGCAGACATGTCCAAGGAATAGTGCCAGGATTTAATCCCTTTATGAATCTTGTGATGAATGAATGTGTGTCGATGGCAACAGTGGGCACCAGGGCCCTACTGGGATGGTGGTCATACAGGAATCGGTGCCATGTTAGAAGCCGGGGCACGGACCTGAAGAACGGCTGTGTTCCTCGGAGAAATCAACTTGCTTGCACATGTTTTTCTAGATAGCACCTGTTTTTCTACAATGGTAAAGCCAAGTCTTGGGCATTTTCATATTGAACTTTTGTTAAATGAACTTTCGCGTTGGTCAAGATAGAAAACGATGTAGGGACTGATCAGATGTGAGAAAAAAGGGGAGGAAGCCGATACTCACAGCCTGGAAAGTAGAACACGGAGTACACTCTTCTGCCACCACGAACTCTTCCGCCATCCAGCACGGCAAGCCCGAGGTGCTCACTAAAGGGGAGAAAGGCAGCCCCAAACCTCACTCGGAAAACACTTCCCCCAAAGGCTCTGCCCATCCCACTTCCCAGCACCCTGACGCCCTCGGTCCGCACGGGGCGCCCTGTGCCACCTGCGGACAGAAACCCCGGGGACACCGGGCTCCCTCCCGGACCATCACCCACCTGACAGCTTCTCCTCCCGCACCGGGGCCTCTGCTTGGCTGCGGGGGACAGGGGGGAAGGGGCAGACGTCAGAAGCCAGGATACAGGGAACCTCCCCATCGCGCGGTCGCGGGGCGCAGTCTCCACCACCCCGAGGGCAGGGGCTACAGCCCGTCTCCCGCTCCCCCTCCCACGGCGCCCAGCCCTCACCAGAGCTTTAAGGTGAACGCGCAGAGCAGCCAGCAGAGGCGGCGGCCCGGGGGGAGGCCACGCCTCCCCGCCCCCGCAGGCATGGAGCGCTCCGGGTCGCCGCCGGGACGAGGAGGCTGCTTCCCTGGGCTCGCGCCGCCGTCAGAGCGCCGAGGCGCCGCCGACCCCGCAGCGCTCCGGGAAGTTCCAGGTTAGAACTGCGAAATGCTGGGGTTGCCTCGGGTCAAAGGCTCTACTGGGAGGTGCCCATGGCCCGGACGAGAAGAGCCAATACGTCCAATACGCAGGGCGGGACGGCGCTAGCCGCCCCTCGCCTCCACTTCGGCTCCCGGCGCGGCCATCTTGCCCTGTGAAGGCTCCTGGGTGTGGGCCCGGTTTCCCTGAGCGGGGCGGGGCGGAACGGCGCGGCGCAGGCGCGGGCGCGCGCGTTGCTTGCTGGGCCTTGTAGTCTCGCCGGGTTGGTGGCGCCGCGGGCATCTCCCGGAATAGAATGTCACTGCGTTCGTGCTGTGCACCGTGGCATTCTGGTCCTGGTAGTCTTTGGTGGGAATGGAGGAAATGGCGGAAATGGCGGCGAGGCTGTATTCTCGGTTCCTGGCTCCCTGCCTGGCCTGTCGCTTGTTTACCCATCTGCGCTAGATGAGCAGCGAGACGTAAAAAAGAACCATACGTCGCACTCAGGACTTTGCACTTCCCTTAAAACCCTGGGAGTTACCATTAAAATTCAGCCTTTCTGACACTCTTACCTGTCTCATTCTTCTTGCCCAGCACGGTCAAAGGGAGAAGCTGGGTTGGCCTCTCCCTGCCACTGGGCCCCTACTCAGCTCTACTCAGATGTCACCTCCTCGCATGTTCAAAGATCCCCAGAACTGGCCCTTGAATAACCGCATCAAATGTTCTCAACTCTCCCTTGCTCCTACATAATGCGCAATAAAAAGAGCGTAAGATCTGAAGTTCCAGCAAGTGTTCAGTCTAGCTAGGCTGGGGTGCTTATTAGCTACATGACTTTAGCACTGTATGTGGCTCTCGGTGTTCTGTGTTAAAAGGAAATGCAAACGTGCATTTTCTTTGTTTGTTTTTGAGATACAAATAAAATGTGTAAATACTTATTCCCCTCTACATTGCCTCACATTTCTGTCATACTTTTTAAAAGGTATGTTTTTATTGATTTCAGAGAGAGGAAAGGAGAGGGAGAGAAACATTGATGAGAGATGCCTCCTGCATGCCCCCTAAATGGGGACGTGCCCTGAAACCTGGGCATGTGCCCTGACGAAGAATAAAAAATTAAGATACTTAGGAATAAAGTAAACCAAGAAGGTAAAAGACTTGTACTCAGAAAATCACAGGATGTTGAAAAAAAGAGACAGAGGAAGATAGAAACAAGTGAAAGAATATACCATGTTCTTGGATTGGTAGAATTAACATCATTAAAATGTCCATACTACCCAAAGCAATCTATAGATTCAATGCAATCCCTATTAAAATACCAATAGTATATTTCACAGATCAAGAACCAATACTAAAAAAATATATATGAAACCAAAAAAGACCCCAAATAAGCCACAGCAATCTTGAGAAAGAAAAACAAAATTGGAGGGATCACCAATACCAGATATCAAGTTATACTGCAAACCACTATAATCAAAACAGCATAATACTAGCACAAGAACAGACATATACACCAATGGAACAGAACAGAGACCCCAGAAATCCACCTGAGCCATTACACTCAATATTTGACTAAGGAGGTAAGAGCACACAGTTGAAATCAAGACAGTCTCTTCAATAAGTGGTGTTGGGAAAATTGGACAGATACAAGCAAAAAAAAACAAAAAAAGAAACTAGACCACTAACTTACACCATACACAAGAATAAACTCAAAATGGATAAAAGTCTTAAGCATGAAACGATAAAAATCCTAGAAGAAACCATAGCAGAAAAATCTCAGACATCTCCATAGCAATATGTTTGCGGATACATCGCCTAGGGCAAGGGGAAAAACTAAGGAGAAAGTGAACAAATGCGATTACTTAAAAATTTTCTGCACAGCAAAAGAAACCATCAACAAAATGAAAAGGGAGCCCACTGGATGGGAGAACATATTTGGCAATGATACATCTGATAAAGGGTTAATATCCAAAACATATAAGGAACTCATACAATTTAACAAAAAGAAGACAAACAATAAAAAATATTCCCAGCTGACCTGGCTCAATGGTTGAGCATCAACCTTTAAACCAGGAGATCACTGTTCAATTCCTGGTCAGGGCGCATGCCCAAGTTGCAGGCTCGATGCCCAGTAGCGGGTGTGCAGGAGGTAGCTGATCAATGATTCTCTCTCATCATTGATGTTTCTATCTCTCCCTCTCCCTTCCTCTCTGAAATCAATAAAAATATATGTTTAAAAAAGGGGCAAAGAATCTAAATAGACACTTCTCCAAAATGAACATACAAATGGCCAAGAGACATATGAAGAAATGTTCAAAGTCACCAATCATCAGAGAGATGCAAATTAAAACAACAATGAGATATCACCTCACACGGGTCAGAATGCTATCATCAACAAGTCAACAAATTGCCCTAGCTGGTTTGGCTCAGTGGATAGAGCGTTGGCCTGTAGACTGAAGGGTCCCAGGTTCCATTCCAGTCAAGAGCACATGCCTGGTTGCAAGCTCAATCCCCAGTAGGGGGTGTGCAGGAGGCAGCCAATCCATGATTCACTCTCATCATTGATGTTTCTCTCCCTCTCCCTTCCTCTCTGAAATCAATAAAAATAAATAAATAATTTTTTAAAAGATCAATGGGAACTTATGCTTAGGTGAGGATTAACAAGAAACAAAACAAATCAACAAATGATAAGTGCTGGTGAGGATGTGGAGAAAAGGGAACCCTAGTACACTGCTGATGGGAATGTAGACTGGTGCAGCCATCATGGAAAACAGTATGCAGTTTCCTTCAAAAAATAAAATATGGCACTGCCATTGATCCAGTGATCTCAATTCTAGGAATATATCCTAAGAAACCCAAAACATCAACCGGAAAAAATGTATGCACCCCTATGTTCATAGCAGCACAATTTATAATAGCTAAGATATGGAAACAAACCAAGTGTCCATTAGCAGATGAGTGGATAAGAAAGTTGTGGTACAGCCCTAACCGGTTTGGCTCAGTGGATACAGCGTTGGCCTGCGGACCAAAAGGTCCCAGGTTCGATTCCGGTCAAGGGCATGTACGTTGGTTGCGGGCATATCCCCAGTAGCGGGTGTGCAGGAGGCAGCTGATTGATGTTTCTCTCTCATCGATGTTTCTAACTCTCTATCCCTCTCCCTTCCTCTCTGTAAAAAAATCAATAAAATATATCAAAAACACCAATTTTCAAAGGGCAATAAATGTAATACATACATACATAAATAAACTACCTAACTGAATGAATGAACATATTAAAAAAAAAAAAGTTGTGGTACATTTACACCATGGAATACTATGCAGCTGTAAAAAAGAGGGATCTCTTACCCTTTAAGACAGCATGGAGGGACCTGGAGAGTAATATGCTCAGCAAAATAAGCCAGTCAGAGAAAGACAAGTATCACATGATCACATTCATATGTGGAATATAACGAACAAAAAAACTGATGAACAAAACAGATCCAGAAATATAGAAGCATGGAACAGACTGGAATCTCAGAGTGAAGGCGGGAAGGGAGAGTGGGTGGAAAGAGATCATTAGGAATAAAAGAATATCTAAAGAACTGTAATCACATAACCCATGAACACAGACAATAGGGTGGTGAAGGCCGGAGTGGGGGTGGGGAAGAGGCCAATGGGGGGGAGGGAAGGGGTAATATATATAACTTTCAACAACAAAAAAATTTAAAAAAAAGGCTTGTTTCCATACTTTTTTTCCTTGTTAACTCTGCTCTACATTCTCCTTCCCCAACAGGTCTTTCTAGCCTAGTCACCACAGCTGCTCCCCTCCCCCACAGCCCTAAAGGCTAATACTTTATTTTGGAATGAACAGTATATATGATGCTGCATCCCCTAAATTTTGTCTTCCCGTCAGACTTAAAGCTGGCTTCTCACGAGCAGGAACTATCAGACTATGGAAAGATCATTGGGTGAGAGTTGGAAAAAAACACACACAAAAAACAAAACCTGGTGAGGACTGAGCTTTAATTTTGTTTGTGACTATTTTTCCTTTAAGTTATTTGTATGTGTCAAGAGTTGTATGTTACAGACAGTAGAGTGTGGGTTTCCCCCCCAGTAGTTTTTAGCTATAATAAAGGTTTGTGCCGAAGTCTCCTATTGTTATCCTTGCCCGATCCTATCATGTTTCATGACTAGCTGTGAGACCTTGTAAGATTTCACTTCCAGTAGCCATACCAAGCATCTCGATAAGGTCTCTACACTGAAACTACATTTTAAAAATACCTGCGGTATGATGAAGATGTCAGCTGTCTTTCTGGGATTCTGAAAATGCCAAGGCGTTCCTTATCTTGAGCAAATGAAACTAGCTCGCAGTTGACAACGGAGCTCAAACATAAGCCACAGAGGACATTACCCCATCGAAGCTTGGATACTTACTACATTTATCAAATTAATTTCTAAGTTCTTCTCCCAGTACTATCAGACTTCTTTCTTTTCTTTTTGTCATCCTCCCCAAGGATATTTTTTCATTGATTTTTAGAGAGTGGAAGAGAGGGGGAAAGAGAAAGGAATATTGATGTGAGAGAAACACATTGATTGCCTCCTGCATGTGCCCCCAGAAGGGCCCGGGCCAGGGAGGAGCCTGCAACCAGGGTACCTGCCCTTTACCGGAATCGAACCCGGGACCCTTCGGTCCGCGGGCCCAAGTTCTATTCACTAAACCAAACCGGCTGAGGCAGACTTTCCCGAGTGCTGTCTTTCACCAACAGAAACAGTTGCACAGAGAAGGCTTTGCTGCTGCCTCCAGATTGTACGTCCACTTCTACACTGCGGGCTGTGGATTTCCTTTAGTTTGTATTTATTTATTTAAAAAAATATGTTTTTATTGATTTCAGAGAGGAAGAGAGAGAGAGAGAAACATCAATGGTGAGAGAGAATCATTGATCAGCTGCCTCCTGCATGCCCCACACTGGGGATGGAGCCCGTAACCCCAGCCTGTGCCCTGACTGGGAATCGAACTGTGACCTCCTGGTTCATAGATCGATGCTCAACCACTGAGCCACAATGGCTGGGTGGGCTTGTGGATTTCTTAAACGCCTTGAACATCATATCCGTGAATAAAAAAGCTTCTAATAGTATTTTGTCCTAACCAAATCTGACATTTTAATTATCCTGATAAAAGATCAATTCTGTGAGATAATTTCACTGTTTAAAAAAAATATTGTGTGTACCCTGGCTGGTTTGACTCAGTGGATCGATCATCAGCCTGAGGACTGAAAAGTCTTGGGTTCAATTCCGGTCAAGGGCACATGCTCGGGGGTTGTGGGCTCGGTCCCCAGTAGGGGGCGTGCAGGAGGCAGGCGATCGATGATTCTCTCATCATTGGGGTTTCTATCTCTCTCTCCCTCCCCCTTCCTCTCTGAAATCAATAAAAGTATATTTTTAAAAATATTGTGTAACAGTAAAAGAGGGTTATGTATACTATGTATACTCAGGCAATATGTATCAAGCCTGAGTTTTTGGTGTTTTCTCTTTTTTAAGAACAATTTTATTTATTGATTTAAGAGAGAGAGAGACAGACAGACAGACATCGACTTGTTGTTCCACTTACATGTGCCCTGACTGGGGATCGAATCCGCAGCCTTGGTGCCTCAGGATGACGCTCCAACCAACTGAACTACCTGGCCGGAGGCTGGTGGTGGTGCTTTTTGCTTGCCTCTTTGTACTCAGTAGTTAGGGGCTGTTTCTGTTAAAATTTACTTGTCCCACTTATAAGTACTACCCAAACATTATGTTAATTTGACCACAGTGCTTGGCACATAGTAGATGCTCAATAAATATGTATGAATACATGAACCTGTTTTGTGTCTCATTTTCCTCATCTATTAAAGCAGATAACACCTGCCAGCTACCTAAAGGGATTGCTGGCAGAATCAAAGATGCTTGCTTGGGTAACAATACTAGGTCTTGTTATTTCCATGAGGCGGGGACTGTCACTCACTCCCCAGGGGAGGCCCAAAGAGAGTCCTTAAAAAAAAGGTCCTGCAATTTCCTGGAGAGGGCTCTGCCCACAGTGATTCTCTAAATCCATAATGGAAAGAGTATGTATGTGCACACCCGCACGTTCAGGGAACCTTTGCTCCTTGCTGGTTTCCTCATCAATTAAACAGCTGGGGAAGAGAGATAGCCCTGGGTCTAATCCTGGCATCACAGGAACCCAGCCAGGTTCAGGCAGCCCAGACACCTCAGAGGGAGGAATTAGGTTTATGAGTAAAGAGCAATTCCGACAACGATGAAAGTTACCCAGAATAGCTACATTTGTGCAAATGGAGGTCTTTAATACTGGGAAAGACCATGCAGAGTGACAGAATAGGACCAAACTTTCAAGGGGTGGTGCTGAGCCAGCCTCTCACAGGACCCTAAAGCCTGATCCAGTAACAAAATCAATTATTTATTTACATTGATGTTGCCATGGAAACCCATCGAAGGTCTGAGGCCCCAGGCTATCTATACTTCCTTTTCTCCTTCCTTTCTTCCTACCTCTTTCGCACGTTTTCACTTCCTCAATTCTTTCCCTTCTTGCTTCTTCCCTCTATTCCACCTCTTCTCCTCTTTCCTCTCTGGTTTTCCTTTTTTTTTTCTTCTCCATTTTCTCCCTGTTCTCTCACCATCTATCCATCTTTACTTCTCCAAACACCACCTACTCTCTCCCCCATCCAGCCCCTCAGCCCTGCTTCCCTCAGGTTCAACCTCCAGGCTTAGGGTGGGGAGGCAGCAAAGAGTCCTCAGCTCAGGGAGCACTTGGTGTTCTTTTTGTCACAAGTTTTCAGGTCAGTGCTGGAGGACTTGCTGCTGTTTCCCTAGAGGCAGAAGGGCACAGGGGTCAGGGTGAGAATGGCTGGCTGGGGTCTGAGCCTATAAACTGTTTGAAGGGGACCCACCCCCATGAGAAGTCTCAGCACTGCTCCCCTCCTCAGTTTTTTATTTCCATCCCCTCCCAGTTGTAACTTAGTCCAGCAGAACCAACTCACCGATCTCCGGCCTCCTGACTTGAGCAAGATGTCCCGGGCCAGGGAACTGAAAGCCTAATGGAGAAAGGAGATTGGTCAGTACAGACTAGAGAAAAGGGTAAGTCTAGCCCTAGCTGGTTTGGCTCAGTGGATAGAGTGTCAGCCTGTGGACCAAAGGGTCCCAGGTTCGATTCTGGTCAAGGGCACATGCCGGGGGTTGTGGGCTCGATCCTCAGTAGGGGGCCTGCCGGCGGCAGCCAATCAATAATTCTCATCATTGATGTTTCTATCTCTCTCTCTCCCCTTTTCTTTCTGAAATCAATAAAAATATATTTTTTAAAAAGGAGAAGGGCCCTGGCCGGTTTGGCTCAGTGGATAGAGCGTCGGCCTGCGGACTCAAGGGTCCCAGGTTCGATTCCGGTCAAGGGCATGTACCTTGGCTGCGGGCACATCCCCAGTGGGGGGTGTGCAGGAGGCAGCTGATCAATGCTTCTCACTCATTGATGTTTCTAACTCTCTATCCCTCTCCCTTCCTCTCTGTAAAAAATCAATAAAATATATTTTTTAAAAAAAAGAGAGAGAGAAGGATAAGTCTATCTTCCGATATTCCATCTCTTTCCGGGCTGGGGCTGGGGGGTGTCTCACCTCATCCACATTCATACTGGATTTGGCACTAGTCTCGAAAAATCGGATTCCATGCTCCCGAGCCAACTGTAGGGGATGAAGTGGGAAGAAGAGGGTTGGATAAAGGATAGTAGCCAAGTCCTCTGCAATCTGACCTCATCTTGGCCAACCTGGTCAGTACCTTCTCGGCCTGCTCCTTCTGTACCTTCCTCTTGGCCTCCATGTCACACTTGTTCCCCAGTAGGAGGCGCTCCACCCCAGCTGAGGCATTCTGGGAGCAAAAGGGTAAGACAAGTAAAGTTGGGTCAAGCTCTTCTTGGAAATCCACTTCATCTTCTAAGTTCTATCCAATTCCCCCATCCCTCTGGGAGGGGCCTCACCTCTTTGATGCTCTTCATCCAATTCTGAATATTCTCAAAGGATTTCTCATCTGTGATGTCATAGACTAGAATAATGCCCTGGAAGATGGCAGAGTTCACAATGGAGGCTTGGACCACAGTCCCTGTTTACTCACCCCCGCCCCAGTTGTACTCTAAGTGAGCCTACAAGTTTTACCCATGAGTCAAATCACTAAGTCATGTGGGACCCTCTGCACCCCACTCGTGCAACCCCCCATTTCCCCCTGCCTCTCTGTACTCATAAACCTACATTTCATTGCCTCATGCCCTCATCCCTTGTCCAGACCCACACTTCGTACCATGGCTCCACGGTAATAGGCAGTAGTTATCGTCTTGAATCGTTCTTGGCCAGCGGTGTCCCTGAAGAGGCAGAATATTTCACGGGGTAGGACAGAGGGAAGGGCTCTCCAGAGAGAGAGATTCCCCTTACCCCCCACCAGCTAAGCATTTAGCTTTCACATGATGGGGCTGAAAGGAACAGAATTAGGAAACAGTAAAAGGGGAAAGGGATGAAGGACAGATGGGCTGATACTGAGAGATGGCAGAGACCTAAGAAACAAGATCCCCCTGGTTTATTCACTGGATGCTTAAGCTGTGCCCAGCACTGTGTATATATCATTTTATACGCATGCCACTTCGTTTAATCTTAACTCCGTCCTTGTGAGACATGCTTTATTGTCCTTATTTTACAAATGAGGTAACAGATTTGAGGAGGCTGAATAACTAATGAAGGTCATTCTGTAACAGAAGGAGAATTTAAACCAGTTTGCTCTTATCTCTTGTACCTTAATGTCTCCATTAAGCCTCATACCCTCGGGGTTTCCAGCTTCCTGATGACAGTCAGGTCAAACATCTCTACTAGGTTTTCTAGGCTCTCCATAATTTAGAGAGAGCACTAGACTTAGAGTCAAGTCTTAATTCTCCTGTTTGCTATTAAACTGCTTAGAGCCAAAACCAGTTTGGCTCGGTGGATAGAGCGTCGGCCTGCGGACTGAGGGGTCCCGGGGTTCGATTCCGGTCAAGGGCATGTACCTGGGTTGCGGGCACATCCCCAGTGGGAGATGTGCAGGAGGCAGCTGATCGATGTTTCTCTCTCATCGATGTTTCTAACTATCTCTCTCCCTTCCTCTCTGTAAAAAATCAATAAAATATATTTAAAAAAATAAAAAAATAAACTGCTTAGAGCCTGTTTCCACATTATAGCTCAACAGACATTTGTTGGCAAGATCAGAATACTCTGGAGCTGGGAGAGGGAAGAGTTACAAAAAAGCTGAAAATAACTGAGCAAGCAGGAAGAGAGATGGAAGGACCACTGAGTGACGTGACGCAAATGATCAGAAGTGCTGGGAGGAACGGAGCGGGAAAGGAGAGAAATGAAGCAAAACAGCAGAAAAAGGGTTATAAGGGGAAGCGGAGGAAGTCTGGTTAGGAATCCTAGGGCAGTCACTCACCAGACTTGCAGTTTGATCTTCTTCCCCTCTATATCCACAGTGCGGATCTTGAAATCAATTCCTAGGAGTGGAGAGTGTACGTTGAAGTTGAGACACAGGTGTGCGCCACGCATGTAAAAGTGTGTTGGGGGCTAGACAGGAAGGGAGCGTGGCAGTGCCGGGAAGTCCGCAGAGGAGGCACATGGGAAGCAGCCTTGTCCAAAGTGTAAAACTAGGAGAATTTCCTCAAAACTGCACACCTCAATTAGCAAGCATGTCATTTTTACTTAGATTTTGTGAATTTTGTGGTGAAGGTGATGAAAATTCTGTAGGGAGGCTTCAGGCCATTAAGGCAACTCTTGGGTCCACTCAGGCTTGCCAGCTGACAACTCTCTCAATCTAGTCCGTCTCCCCCCAAATATTACTTTCGGATTCCTTTTCCCTTCTGTTTTCCTGGAACCCTCTACTCTCCGTACCCCTCCCCCAATGTTGCCGGCCCTGTAGGGTAGAGCGTGAGGGAAAAGGTAGCTGATGCCTGTCTGTGTGAATTATCTAGTAGGCCAGGCTTGGAACCAAAAAAGTTTGAAGCTAAACAAGATCCCTCCTGAGACTGAACGAGGAAAAAGGGGCATTTTTCCTTCCCCTTTCTAACCAGAATTGTCTTGAGACTCTCCTTGTCTTATTTCCCAGACCAGAGTAGATGAAGAAAGATGAGAGCGGAGGAGGGGAAACACTGTTCTTAGTGGAGACTTGGGCACCTCCCCCAAGCCTGTTGGGAGCTCTAGGAAGGAGGCTGAGTCACCAGGCTGACTCAGGGACCCCAAAAGTCCCCTCATTCCCACCTTCTTCACCAGGCCGGCTGCATATTCAGGATCACAGTCCTTGGGCCACCCTGTTTCACCTTCCCCACCCATTAAGTTAAGGAGCAAGAGAACGGAGAAGTAGATGATCAGGTGGGGATGGAATAGAGTCTGAAACTCAGTGGGACAGCAGGAGGCTGGCAGAGCTGGGAGACAGATGTTCTGCGAGGGGGAATACAGGAAATGTGGAGAGTGACTGGGTCAAGAGCTCCAGGTGGATGGGGGAGAGGAGGAGCTGAGAAGGGAACAGAGAAGGGGTCATGTGGATCTAGAGAGATGAGAAGACTGGTATCAAGAAAACGAGGGGCCGGCACATCGGAGGAGTTACCTGGAGATGGCAGGCCGGTTAGAATTGTGGGTACCACCCAGAGGCATGAATGGGGGATGGGTCTGAAGCAGAGGTTGAGGACCTGGATTTTAGAAGCCCCACTGCAGGGGGACTGGAAGGTGGGGGCCACCAGTAATCTGGGAGCCGGGGGGCGAGGGCACGGGGAGTCAGGGGCCCGGGAGATGGCCAGTGGGCTCACCGATGGTGGAGATGTAAGTGTTGTTGAAGTTGTCCTCTGCAAAGCGAATGATCAGACAAGTCTTGCCCACCCCCGAGTCCCCGATCAGCAGCAGCTTGAAGAGGTGGTCGTAGGCTTTGGCCATGGCGGACACTGAGGGAGCCGGGGGAGGGGTGGGGACGCGCTGGGCACCGGGAGGCGAGATTGGAGGGTTGGTAGAAAGAGACGCCGGTAGCCCGGGCCAGGAAGTTTTCCTCCCTC